AACCATGGATATATCTTTCAAGTCCTTTTTAGGAGCCGCTATGGAACGTACACCATAAACTATAGACTCATTGTTACAATTTGCAGTTATTTATATTTCTGTCCCTCTTGATTTTATTGTTTATTTATTATTATTGTCATTATGAATAACTTTTTCATTTATGATGCCTGTCAACGATGACAAGTAACAGCAATATATGTGCTTCCTTCACCCTGACCATGACCTAACAGGAGCACAGGCACCAGACTGGAAGCCATGTTAGTCTACTAGCTGTTTTACATTCTTTTTTTACCACATAAAAAAGTAATTGTTGTCATGGGAAAATGTCCTCATGGGCTTGATCAAACTGTTGTGCCGGTCCTGTACATTGGATATCCAGTGTGTAGCAGAGCATTGAATGAGTGCCTGAGTGAGTTCTACAGTCCAGCAGTCCACCAACAGTGTGCAGTTACTGGGGTTTGGTTTTACACAAGCTTGAGTTTTGATATCCTGAAACAGACCAGAGTGGTTCTTTACCTCATAGATGACTAAAGGTTAAAAAAATAATGGTTGTTTTTCAGAGTTAAGCACAGTCAGCTTGTGAAAAGAGTGAGTCGAGGTTCATAAGAAAATAGTGGAAAATAATCAGCAGTCTGTTGGCTGAATGGTTCTAATCATCCACAAAGTTAATAAGTAATACCAGCCAAAGGAATCACTGGTATTTCCCCGTGCCAGCAGAGAGAGATAATCTTGTGAGTGGGAATGTTTATCTTGGGGGCCCAAAGTCACATATTTTCATGGAGTAAAAAACTATAACAAAAGAGCCATGTGACCGCGCCTGTTTCATGGTGTGATTTTAACACACTCTCTTCTCCACTTCCCTGCAAGTAATGCGTATAAGTATACAAAGGCCATGCAAGGTGGCATGCACAGGATTTGAAATTATTAAAGATTTATAAGCATAATTTGTATGTTTTTTTTCTTTGTAAATTAAAATAGGACTAAATAGTAGAAGAAATATTGTTTTTGCACTGCACTGGTGACATCTGGTAAGTCCTGAAATAAAGCTTAGTCTGGACAATATGGAGAAATACATCACCAGCCTGTATTTATATCATCACTCTCTTCTTACACTAAAGTTTTCCTTTCCTATTTCAACAAACTTTTCTGTGCAGGCTCAATAAAGTTAATCTTGTCTAAAAAAAGAAGGAAGGTAAACTACTACACACCGTGACACACTTTTGCATCTACTACTGTATCATTCCTGCACATGGACCTGTATAACCTGTAACCAGCTCTATGGTCTCAGCTCCACGCAGTATTGATGAGCTTCAGCCAGCTGGAGGAACTGCAGAGTTTACAACCAGTGCAGCCTATGCTGGATATTGGCAGACGATGAATATATCCAAACATGAGCCAAGAAGTCAAACTGGGACTTTACAGCATAAAAACCATTCCCTCTAAAACCAAAAAGAATTGTACACATTAGGTGATATTTACTTTTTGCACAAGTGTGGTAACTAATCCTGTTATATGAAGCTTTTTCTTAGCAATTAAAAGTGGTGGAGCTGTGAGAGGAGTAACGCAGAAAGAGAGGCAACAGCTGGATGCTTTATATTAGTTTTGGCCTTGATCGATCATTGGTTTTCACAAGCAGCATCACATACCTGCTTTGATGGTGTCTGTTCTGCATTAATACATCATGTGTGATCAGTCAAGGGAAAAATCTTTTCGTCAGTGTAAAAGTCTTCCCCATCTGCATGCCCTAGTGTCCTTCGGCATGACACTGATCTCATTATTGGCAATAAACTGTACTGTGCTTTGAGTGATCCACAAAACTAGAAAAGCTCTATATAAACACAGACCAGATCATTTAAAAAGGAACAACAGAGATGCCAAAGATGTAAAAATGAATGCACAGGTAAACATTGCAAACACAACTTGCTACAAAAAGATTGCCTTGGCATGAAGCATGTTGGATAAATTCAGTACATACCAAACCCTGTGTAGCTGGATGTCCAACGCAAGCCCTGGTGTGAGTCTGCATGAGATGCACAAGTTGAGCTGGAGTGATCATTGCTGATGTGAAACACTCAGTCTGCATCTGTGAGGGTGGAGGTGGGAGGTGTTGAGAGTTACTCCCTCACCCCCCCCCCCCCCAAAACAAATTTCGGGAACGGGAGGATGAAAGAATGAGGCTGTATCAACTGTGACCACATTGTGGTTGAACAGACATAAGTCGTACGATCCTCAAAGGTGGAGTGGACTGAGCATTTGATGATGACTTTCATATGATGCTGTCTGACCACGCTGACACATCTGGTGTGATGATACGTGAAAAGAATCTTTGCTGTTACTGTGAACGGAAAAAGCAAAGTCACTGTGTAATTTAATTTATTTTAATATCTTGACAAGGAGCGTCTTACACATAGACATATTTCCTTCCTCTGGAAGCTCGACAGGATTAGGGAGGGTTTATATACCAGCAGACTTTGGCTCGGATGTGAGCCCGATTCTATCAAACCACTAAATAAAAACATGTGACACAAACACACACCAAGAAAGGTCAACATAAGTTTGTCACATCTCTGAACAGATGTTCGCTAGCTTGTATCATTGACTCGTCAAAACCTACGTACACTCACACAGTTTTTACATTTGCCACACTGAGCACAATCTGCACCCAGGAGAACAACAGCACTTTACACAAATCACAAGGATGTCAACATTCACAATATATTACAGAGAAGGAAAAATAAATTGTGAAAGCAGCCAAGCAGAGGAGTCTAATCCCAGCTGGCATGAACACCCGCCTGGAACAGAAGATAAAGATGTGTTTAAGTAATTATAGCCCGATGCAGAGGCCAAAGGGTCATATTACAGTGAACTGTGCTCATTCCTCCAGACAGGAGGGAATGTTTTCAGAACAGAGCCACCTTTGATGAATGTCAGGGATCTGGATGAGTTGTGTGGATAAATACGCACCGGATCTATGGTCATTTTTCTTTTGAAAGGGGGCAGGAAATCAACAGGACAGCTACAGAACACACAAAGAATAACAGAAAGTGTAAAGATACCGATATTAATTCTTCTTGTGGCTTTATAGACACAAAATGTACATGATTGTGCATATCCCTCATAACTGTATTTGCATACAGCAGAACTCAAAAGCAATCCACAGCTTATCTCCTGTACATGAAAAGACTGGAATGAGGGGGAGAGTAAGCTGCTGTGGTTCTTAAGTACATATATAAAATCAGTTTTCTCCATTTTAGCTGCAGGGCTGGGTGGATAAGAACAGCAGAGAAATGGTGAGATCAGTAGTACATCGGCCCCGCAGAGCTCAGCTGAGGTGCTTCTCAGAACGGGGAGAGGCTCGGCACTTTGATATTGATGTCTCCGATGTTGATGTTGCGGGGAATCTCCGGCAGGTTCATGTTCTTCACAGCAGAAACAGCGCGAGCTGGAGCCGCTGATAGACCTCCCTGCACAAACGAAACAACACAGAACATAAAGCTACAGTGGAAGTCTTACATGATTAAAGCAGCTTCTACATTATTCTGATGACAGTTGTTGTTTAGAAAGAATCCTGATGAAAGAAAACACCAACAGTGTTTTAATGCATACCAATAGATTCGTTGAAAGAATCCAAGTCATGGGAGCGTGAGTAAACGACTCACCCAGCTCTGTCCAGAGGGGGGCGACAACATTCCAGGAAGTCGCTGTTCCCCGCCACTATAAAACTTCAATTCGACACTTAAAGGCTTTTTTAAAATGAGTTTTAGATTTACAGGTTGAATATGAACTTAGGACAGAGCCAGGCCTGGCTCCTGGCTGTATCTTCAGGTGCAGCATACAGGCATTACAGTGGATTAATGCTTTTATTTGACTTTTAGCAAAATGTCAAACTATTCCTTTAATTTCAGGGGGTTGATGATGCTTCTAACATGCAACAGATGCACAAATCAAAAAAAGAAAAAGGGAACAAATATCTCTTGGAGAAAAAGCGTTGTCATACACGTAGAAGACACCGACGAAGATCTAAAGAGAGTTTGAGGTGATGAGAGGCGACAACGGTGTGTGTTTTTAAGAAAACCATGTGATCTACACAACAGAATTAATGTTACCTTCTGCCTCTGCCTGCTGCACCCGGCTGCTCCACCTATCGCCTCAATAATGCTGCGTTGTTCATGCGTGAAACACAAACTACGGGTATAGTCTGGGCCCAATTTTCGGGACTTTATACGCAGGTCATGTCTGAAAACGGTATATGTGGTATTTGAAGCATCGTGGAGGAACTTGTTTAAGTAGAACATGTGGCAAAAAAAATGGCTAATTCCTCACAAAAAACCCAACTAAATCTGAATATGCGAAAGATAGTTTAGAATCTCCGACGGCTCCAGACAGAGCTGTGTGAAGTGTGAGAATTCCCTCAAGTGACGTCACAAGTCAACTTAAAACTACAATGAAAGAAACACGGATGTGATGTAAGAAAGAGGTGAGCAGATCAGAACTCTCTCTTTTTATTTATATATCTTAATTAATCTAGCTACTTAACTTATTTGGCTATGTGGAAAGGTGACTCCCCCATTCTTAGCAACTGAGCCTATTCAGCTCTGATTGGTCAATTGTTTCCTTAATGACAGGAGACTGGTGTCAGTGGGCACAACACAAGACACATTTGAATTTCTGACCAAATCTGAGACGTGGACAAAGATTCAGAGGTCTGTTCGTGTTTAATGTGTTCAGTGTGTTAAGTTTCATGTCTGCAAGTTGATTTCAACGGTGAGTGGTATCTGATGTGGCAGCCTGGGAAGCATAGCTCTCCCTTCAACCTGAGCTTTGGAAAATTTGCTTTAATAGTGGAAACTTTTATGGGCTAAACTGTGCAAAAACAAAATCCCTGGTATGGTTGGTACATGTGGTAATACACTGACCTCAGACTTCTCCATGCGGTTCTGCACCTCCACCTGCGCCACAATCTCGTTCATGTTGGTCTCCAGCACCATGCCTCCCATCACCACTTCCTGCAAGATATAATGGACCTGCAGACAAACAACACAGTGGTGATTGTGAAAAAAATGACAGCAATTAAAAAAGTCTCTGTGCATGCTCGCTGTAACTTAATAATTAGGATGACACTGCACTGTCACTTTATTTGTGAAAAGAAAATTCAATAATAACACATGGATTAGACACCAGCACACACTGGCTGCTCCACACAGCAGCCAGATGTAACTATCTGAAGTTTTCTCTCAGCCCTTGTGTGTTTCTTTTTTACCAAAGACATGACAGAGGTATAAACGAGTCCAGCTCTCTCTGGAAAGTAGCTGCCACTGAGGGCTCATTGGGAGACAGTCTTCAGTTTCAGTCTGAAGTTTAGATTTGTGGTTGGAAAACATTTTGGGGAACATGACACTGTCTTGCATGGCAGACCTTATTTGAGTTTAAGGATGATAAACGGGAAAGAAGTCCCTGCAAAAGCTTTGAATCTTTTAGTTATTCACAAAGCCTCATTCCTGATTTTTCTCCTTGTGAGATAAACAATTGGAAAATATCTGTAATAGCAGTATAAGTCTCTTGATTTGTTCATCTCCACATGTGCATAACATGTTAATAATACAAGGTTTGTTTTAAAACCCTGCATGGGTATATAAATTATATATTTATGATGCATGCCAGTGGTGTCCAGCTAGGAAGGCTTTGCAAGAGCAATGGGTTTTCATCCTTGCAGAAGTTTTTCCAAGTTTCATCTTGGGAACATTCCTCAGGCAAAACCCCACAACACCACATGACATCAATTTCCTGCTGGGAAAATTCAATCAAGATGGCCGAAAATGTTTCTGATTAGACTCCAGCAACACTTCCAGCTCAATTCCAAGTTCCAGGGAGAGAAAGGAGGCCTTGTTGTTGCCTGAACAATACAGAGCTTCATTCTTAAAGGAGCCCGTGCAGAATTTAAATGTATTTTTCAAATCCAACATCTGAAAAAGAGGAAACCTTGAACTCTAATGTATTTCTTTTTACCGTTCTTGGAACAGGTCCCCACGTTAAAATATTATGCAGCTCCCAAGCACAGACGTTTTCACGAGGTTGAAAATTTCAGAGCTGCAGAATCGCTCTACATCATCGTGTCAGGAGGCTGGTTTGACTTATGAGTACAAATCTTCTCCCCACACACCAAAGAGAACTGCACCATTTATAGCAATGCAGCTGTTCCTGAAAAGCAGCTGGGTGCACGGAAAAGACAGAAAAACACCTCTGCGCTGCATAACTCGAGATATGTTTCCCTGTAGGTCCTTCATAAAATAATGAATCCATATTAAGTTGCACTCGTGTGAACCTTTTGTTGAATATGAGAAGTAAAAGCATTTATATAATATTTCTTTGCTAGGATTGGAGCATACAAAAATATGTAACTTTTTCAACGTGAGGTTTTTAATTTTTTTGGATGCATGTAACAGATCTAGAGCACAACGCCTCTAATATTCCTTGTCTCACAGATGCTGGTAGAGTCTTAAGTCTGAATCACTGGCAACAGCAGAACTGGATAAATGATTGTCCTCAGTTAACCACAGTTATGTTACCACTTCCTGTAGCTCCTGCACAAGAATTTTGATATTTTTATTGTGAACATGAAGTGCTGATTCTGCATTAACAGCAAATTAACAGCAACTACAGACTTTTTGTAGTTTCTGACCCACAAATTAGAAATAACAGTGAATGTTGTTCTGAGACTGGAAAGGGGCCATAATTCAGAAGGTCAACATGTCTCAGACAAAGCTACTTGTACATTTCTGTAATGCAGTGTGGCACGTTCAATACTACAATGGCTGCTTATCATTATTTTCTTTATTGATTCTTAAAAATATTATTTTAAAAAGCAAAAATCAGTCAGTCCAAATTTCTCTGATCACACAATGATATCTCCAGTTGGCTCATTTTGTCCAATCAACAGTCCAAAACAAAAGATATTCAGTTTAGCGTCATATGTGATAAAGAAAAGGTTTGAAAAATTCCATCCTCTATTCAGAGAAGCTGAAAACATTTGGTCTTTTTTAAGATAACTG